TCTTTTAATTAACTTTTCCCCTAAGTGTTCTGAAGGCCCCTCGCGTAGCTAAATATTACTCTCCTTGTTAATGGAGATTTTTATGAACAAAGCTGTCCAGCCTGGGAAAGTGACTTTCTCATCATGATTTCACGTGCCCCCAAACATGCTGGGATAGGGCAAGGTGTGCCACGTTGATTTAAAGTTACTAACTTACCGACTTAATTTTCTTTCAGTTCTGTTATGAGTTGCTAAAGTCATGGTGAAATGTTGTTCGGCCATTGGATGTGCTTCTCGCTGTTTGCCAAATTCCAAGTTAAAAGGATTGACATTTCACGTGTAAGATTTTCCTTTAGTTAAGCTGAGTGCTTTTTCTCTTCTTTTTTTTTTTTAAAAAAAAAACCCTCTTATCAAGGGGCTACCCCCCCTCTCCAACCTGATAACACTGAAAGAATGTTTCTTTAAGTAGGAAAATCTTGTCTAGACTTATTACAATAGTGAACTCATTCAATCTTTGTCCTTTTGTGATTAACTAATATCACTCAGCATAATGTTCTCCAGGTTTGTCCATGAGAAAAGATTTTTCATGTACACATAGTTGTGTTCTGTAGTAATCATTGAATGTCTGTACCAAAGGACTTTTGTCTTTCATAAAAAGCAAATGACACTTATACTTAAATCTTCCATTTGGACTGCTCAGGTTCTTTTTAAATGACCTTTTTTTAGTTAAATTTGAAGCAATGGCTGTGATACATTTACATTTTATACTTAACCAGTACTTTTAAGATAACACTTCAGGAGTCAGAGGCTAGTTATCAAAAAATTTCAAACTCGTTTTTGTTAATATTACCTTGTATCTTAACATACCTTCACAGAAATTCATTGTGTCAGTGTGTTTTACAAAGTAGTTTACATTCTGATCTTTGCCAAAGTGCATTATATGCATTCTACTTAGAAATAGATCAAACTTAGGTTGTAGGGGAAACATGTAACTTATAAATTCAGACCAAAAGAGTTTTTTTTAACAGATATTGCTGATAAATCAAGGTAATCCTAATTGGGAATACTTGACATCTAGCTCCATGACTTTAGACTTGTCCTTCTCAAGCGTCACTCTCCTCATATGTGGTAGTGACAGTATTACTGGGATAGGTAAAGGCGGTCCACCTTAGCTCTGAAATTACTATGAAGTGGCCACCTCTCCCATTAAGAGATTTTCCTCAAAAACTTAAAACAAAAAAAAGATCTTGATCCTACAGCACAATGTCTGACAAAAGGGGCTAAAACCTTTAACAATGTGTCATCATTGCCCTCAACTAATTAATTAGTGGACCCCCACAGAATCCAAACAAGGCTTCTTACCTTCTGGTAGAAACCATGATGCCACCAGGGCTCTCGTTCTCACATAGGTGAATAAATTAAAATCTTCAATTGTGGGTAATACTGTAAAGTGTCAAATATCCGTTGAAACTTGTAGTCTTAGAACTTGAATATTGAAATGAATATATCTGCAGTATGATTGGCATCTTTTCAATATTAAGGCTAAGAGATGTGAAAGTAGAAATCATAGTTTTCCTGAATGTTGCAATTCCTAAGAATAGTAACACTAGTTCAGTAATTTAGTTACTGTTGAATAAGACTGCCTTAGTTCAAGTGTACATATATACCAGAAGTGTTTAATTTTAAAATATTGTTTGTGCTTTTTGTAGATTCCCCACAGATGAAAATGTGAAAAGAAAATGGGTCTTAGCCATGAAAAGACTGGATGTGAATGCTGCAGCTATTTGGGAGCCTAAAAAAGGAGATGTGTTGTGTTCAAGGCACTTTAAGAAGACAGATTTTGATAGAAGCACCCCAAACATTAAGCTCAAACCTGGAGTCATTCCTTCTATCTTTGATTCCCCATCTCATTTCCAGGTCTGTAGATACTGCTTTTCAGAATTATGCAATTATAACCTGGGGCATGGTTTGGTGCTGCTGGTCTCAGTCTGGTACTTTGGAAGAACCTTCACCTCTCTTGTTAATATTTTTGTGTGCTTATTCATACACAATCCATTCTTAGAGTTTTAAAGTCCGTAGCCTGCTGCTTCAGGTTTTATGATATGTAGGGGGATTGTTTTACCAGTAAACCCCACTGCCCTCAAGTCAGTTCTGACTCAGCGACCCTGTATATGAGCAAGATAGCCCATAACTCTGAGGAGCTGCTGGTGGGACCACTAGATTTTCCTTACTCAAATCCACTGCCACAGAGTAAATTTTGACTCAGAGGGAGCCTTTATATATTCCAGAGCTACAAATCTTTACAAGTGTCCACTTCCTCTCACTGAGCAGTAGGTGGTATGAAACGCTGACCTTACGGTTTACAATCCAGCAATTACCTGACAGTACCACCAGGCCTCCTGATGTGAAAGAGGTTTCTCCAGTAACCACCCACAAGCATTTGTTTTAAAGTTTGGTGTAGTTGACTGACTTTAGAGTCAACGCTGAGTCAGGGAAACCCCAGGTGTGTCACAGTAGAACTGCATTTCATAGAGTTTCCAATGGATGGTTTGTTTGTTTGTTCCCAGAAGTTGGTTGCCAGGCCTTTCAACCTCCCAGTTAGCCCCAAGCACATAACTGTTTGCATTACCCTAGGCCGTAATTATGGAGTCTAACATCGGGGCTTAAACAAAAGTTCTCCTTACTCGGGAGCAGAAGCCTGAAGTAGAAGCACAAACAGGACCGAAGTATACTTCAAAGGTCCACTTACAAGCAAGCTTAGTCCCATGGTAGAGCTACAAGGAAGAAAGCCAAGAGTCTAGAGCAACAGAAGAAAATGTCAGAAAAAGGGAAAACTTTAAAAATGATAAAAGCTAAATCTAGAGTCTCGTTGAATCTATCAATCTAATTGGAATCTCTGGTTTTTCTCAGTGATATTAATAGCATGGGCTACCTGCCTCATCCTGTGTATTTCTCTTGACTTCATATACTTGAAGGAAATACATCTATTTCCTTCCAGAAACTATCAACTGTTTGATTCCACTGTAGAAATTTTAGGGACAATCTGTGTGTTCCAGCAACAATTATACTGGGTCTCCACTGGAAGATACCTCCTTTCCGACCTCTGAGAACAAGAAGTCCAGAACTGTACCTCTCCCCAGGTGGTTTTAGTTCTTTTCTGTAATTGATGATGTTGTAGTGCCTGAGTGACTAAGTAGAGACAGCCTCAATTTCTTGCATATTAATCAGTGCACGAGAGCTAATGCAAGTTCCTGGGATGGGTTTTTTCCTATCACAGTTGTCACCTACCTACAATGTTAAAAAGAGCTTAATAACTGGGGGGGATAATAAACCATCAGTTACTAACTTTCAAAAAAATTGTTCGCCGTGGGTGTTTGAAATGAACTTGAAGGACACTAAAGATTCCAAGTCCACCTCAGTTTTACTTTTCCTCCTTGTTTAGCCACCCAGACCAAGATTCAGATCTGGTGGGGCAAGAAATCAGGAAGGTATGATTTATTTCTTTTTCATGGAGCAATTTTTATTTTATTTTCCCTTTTTAACAAAGATTCGTTATAGAAAATTCAGTTATACTGATAAAAGGGTTATGCATTGTAGTGGTTATGCATTGGTATGCTAACCACAAGGTCAGCAGTTTGAAGCTACCAACTTTACAGTGGAAGAAAGTAGAGGCTTTCTACTCCTGTAAAGAGTTATAGTCTTTAAAACACATAGGCAGTTTTACCCTGTCGTATAGATTCACTGCAAGTTAGAATTGACTTGATGGCAATGACAGTGGCTTGGTTTTTGAGATAAGCAAAAAAGAAAATAAAAGTGAGCAATGATCACATAATCCAGAGACAAATTAATGTGAATCCTCCAAGCCATTGTTTGTATATATGTACATAAATGCACTTATATTTCTTTATGGATACTGTTTATAAAAATGGAAAACTTAATGATAATAATTGTGACAAACTATTTGAAACCCTTGACATATGTATCAGACAATAATGAGCTCACTGAATACTGACAACAACAATATGCATTAAGTGCTGTTACTCTCAATTGACCACACGAGGAGGCAGACCAAGAGTGAGGAAACACCTTTCCAAAGTTCACACAGCCATTGATTGACTGAGGTGAGATTTGAGCCTAGGCATTTTGGCTCTGAAGCCTACCCCAAGCTACAACTTTCAATGACTTTGAATATTTTTCTGCAAATACAGCTTTCAAAATTTAATTGAAATCAGAATTATATGGGAGGTTATTGAAAATTCAGAATAATGCTCAATTCCCAGGGAATTTAAATCAGTAAGTTTGGGCTGCAGTCTGGGAATCTCTAATCACAATCTCTGTGATTGTGATGCAGATCTATTGATCCCATTTTTAAGAGAAGCATACCCTTGATCAAGCCCTACCAGACCTCCTACACCCTCCTCACCATCGATTTTAGATCACTTGTTGTCCCCTTGTCCCTGGGTTTGTTAACACCCACTTCCTTTCCCCTGCACCCCCCTCTCCCATGCCCCCGCATTCCCCAGAACCATAGGTCCCATTGTTTTCTCCTTTGAATTGTTTATCCCACCTATCTTATCTAGATAGATTTGCAGAGACAATAATATGCACAAAAATAAGGACAGAGCAAGTAAAGCAACAAAACAACAACAAAACCAATGATGAAAAAAAGAAAAACCTATAAAATAGTTCAAGGCCTGTTTGTTGACCTTTAGGATTGTTCGAGTCTGATGGGGTGCCATTGAAACCCAAATGAAGGCTGAACATGATAGTGCGACAAGAGGAAAGTAAAAGGAAATAGAGGAAAGAACTAGGAGGCAAAGGGCATTTATAGAGGTTTAAACAAAGGCATTTACATATGTAAATATATATGACCATAAGGAAATAGATCTATGTTCATATATTTATAGTTTTAGTTTTAAGGTAGCAAATGGACATTGGGCCTCTACTCAAGTACTCCCTCAATGCAAGAACACTTTGTTCTGTTAACCTGGCATTCCATGATGCTCACCTTCCCGACATGATCGCTGACAACAAAGTGGGTGTATAAGCAAAATGTGAAGAAACTTGATGGTGCCTGGCTATCAAAAGATATAGCGTCTGGGGTCATAAAGACTTGAAGATAAACAAGTGGCCATCTAGCTGAGAAGGAACAAAGCCCACATGGAAGAAGCACACCAGCCTGTTTGATCATGAAGTGTTAATAGGATCAAACACCGAGGACAAAAAAATTAATATCATTGTGAATGAAGAGGAGTGTGGAGTGGCATACATCATAAATGTACAGATCACTGAATTGTCACAATGTGAATACCTCACATTGCCTCTTAGTCCCTGTACCCAACAGTAACTATTATCTTGTTCTATCACACTCACATAAGCAAAGTAACTATAGTACATACTCTGACTTCTTTCCCTCAACGTTTCCTTTGTGAGATTCATGTAGCATATAGTAAGTAATAAATAGCCCATCTGTTTTCTCTGCTATAGGGCAGTATTTCCCAAAGTGGGTGATACTGCCTTTGGGGGGTTGTGGGCAGGGCACTGGAATGATCCTGAAGGCCTGCAAAAGCAGGTACCTACACTATATCCTGAATTATGGGCGATAGGTCAAAAGTTTCTAATTGCCAGGGGAGACTGAGTAATTTTTTTTTTCTGAAAAAGGAATAGTAGGCCAAATAAGTTTGAAAACCTATGCTATATAGTATTTCACTAGATGACTTCATCTGATATACTTTGGACATGTTGTCACAAGAGGCCAGTCCCCGGAGAAGGACATCACGTTTGGTAAAGTAAAGGGGCAGTGAAAATGAACAAAAAGTCCCTCAAGGAGGTGGATTGACACGGTGGCTGCAACAGTGGGCTCAAGCATAGGAGCAATTGTGAGGATGGCGCAGTGCAGGGCAGTGTTTCCTTCTGCTGTGCATAAGGTGGCTTGGGGGTCAGAACCAACTCAATGATGCCTAGCAACAACCTTCCATCATAGTAATTATAATTTCTCCATTCTAATCATGATGACTGTTAAGGATTAGCCACTGCCACGGAGTCTGTTTGACTCATAATGCCCCAACAACAGAGTAGAACTCCATAGTGTTTCTGAGGCTGTACGTGCTTAGGAAGCAAATTCTGCCTCATTCTTCCTTGGAGTGGCTGATGGCTCAAATTGCTGGTAGTTCACACGTAGCTTACTTAACCCATCGCTCCACTAGGGACTTTATTATGAATATTGCATCTAAAGATGTTTAGCTTAGTCTTTTAGTGCATGTACATGTTTCTGTTAGAAGTAGAATTCCTGTGCCCTAGAGACGTGTATAGGGGCACTATGAGATGAAACTGACTCCCTGACAGTAAGTTTGGTTCTTTTTGAAGATGTGTAGGTTCCACTTGAGTAGATATTGGCATCATTTTCCAGTGAGCTTTTACCAATATATAGTCATACCATCAGCATATAAATGTTCCTCTGGTTCCACAGCCTTACAAGCGCTTGCGGGGGTGTCACTTTTACAGAATACTTAATGACTTTCACAGTCAATAACATGTATAAATGATATTTTATATAAACCTCATTTCTTTTCATTCAAGTTATCTTTCACTATTTTAAACAACACTATAATAAACATTATTGTAGCATAATCTTTGTGCATATTATTCCTTGAACTATAGTCTGGAAATAAAATTGCTCAAAAATGATAAACATTTTTAAAGACTTTGCTTTTTGTACAGCTCTCTAAAAGTCCCCCCTGAAAAGTGTCCTGTCTGCTCCTTGACTCCCTATGCCTAAGTGTCTCTCCACCATAACACACAGTATAAGTTTGTTTTTAACTTTTGCTTTACTTGATAATGAACATAGTATTTAATGTCTTCCCTTGCTTTTTTTGTTTCCATATTTTTTCATGTTTGATTATATTGAACATTTGTGTTTTGTGAATTATTGAAGGCCTCTTCTATTTTCATCTATGACTATTTTGTAAAATCACTGTATATTGACGTTATGAGTCTTAGTTCTTAGGGGTTTAGATGTTTTTGATTTTGAAATTCAGATTTTTTTTTTATGTAGTCCATTCTATTTTTGTGTCATCATCATTGGAGTTTAGTCACCGTACAGTTGTGTAAGTATGTACTGTAATTTTTCTGCTTCCTTGTTTTCATTTTTACATTAATTTTTATGCATATGAATTTCATTTTGTTTTCTTGTTTATATAAAGGATATCATAGTTTTTCTTAATTTAATAGGATTTTTAGACTTCCTCCACATCTTTAAAATGCCACTTTTCCTAAGTATTTATATCTGCTGGTCTGTTTCTAGATTTGCTGTATGATCCCTTGTTTTTTGCAAAATCCTAAGAAAGTAACAGACTGTTTTAACTGTTGTTATTTTGTGATGTTTTCTAATATCAGCCATATTTCCCATCTTCTTTTAAGAAAATTTGTGCTTCCAATCTTTAGAATTACTTTTAGAAAGTTTTTAAAAAATAATCGCAGTAGGTTATTTCAAATATAGTACTTTTTAAAAGCCGTTTCCATAAATAAATGTTATATTAATTCTACTAAAAGTTAAAGAGGAATAAAAATTTTAAATACTGTGGTAGTATCTACAGTGACTTTTATCAATTTTTTTAACAGGGGAAAAGAGAAAAACTTCCTTGTAGAAAAAACTTCATCATCAAAACACTTCCAGTCACAAACCACAATCACCAGCTTGTTGGTGCTTCCTCGTGTATTGAAGAATTCCAGTCCCAGTTCATTTTTGTAAGTAACATCGCTTTGGTGAACTAGTGTGGACACTGTTAGGGCAAGTATGTCCTCTCCAGTGAGATTTTAGCTTTCATAATCTTAGCCAAGAACAAGGGAGTTGGAGCTTGTACATGTTTTTAATGTGTAATGTCAAGAAATACTACTGCTTTCCAGCGCCATGCTCATGTATATATAGATATCCCCCCAAAATGATTTTTTCCCCAGCTATGTATTTAAATTGATTTACAAAACAGCCTTATCACCTTCAAAGTACTCTCCATTATACAATACTTTTTCAAATCTGCGATTCCATTCTTGGAAACATTTTTCAAACTCATCTATTTGGACGGCTGACGTGCCCTTCCCTCGGTTTTCCGTCTCCTCTTCTATGTCATCAAGTTGCTGTCCTTTCATGTCCCTCTGCATTCGCAGACACAAAAGAAGTAGCACAGAGCGAGTTCAGGTGTGTGGGGCAAGAGACGCATGCTGATTGTTGCCATCTACTGGCGCTCTGAGATGGCTGCGTGAGAAGGTGCATTGTCGTAGTGGCAAAACCAGTCCCTGTCTGCCACAAATCAGGCCGTTTTTGTCATACACCATTCTGCAATCTTTTCAGAACCTCTAGAAAGCTTGACTAACAGTCTGACCTGGTGGAATGAACTCCAAATGCACTATCCCCCTCACATCAAAAAAAACAAATGAGCATCGTCTTGATCTTTGATTTCACTTAACGAATTTTTGGGGGGTGAGATGATGATGGCATCTTCCACAGACTTAATTGATGTTTGGTTTCAGGGTCGTAAGAATAGCACCATGGCTCGTCACCAGTAATGACCTTGGAAAAAAATCTGGGTTGCTTCACAGCTGTTGTCTCAAAGCACAGCATGTTTCCAGTTGACACTCTATCCTGGTCAGTCAGAACCTGAGGCACAAATTTTGCAGTGACCCTTCTCATTGCAAAATCTTCTGTTCAAATTCGCTGAACCAAATTCCAAGATAGTCCAGGTAACTTCCCCATCTCTTCAGTGGTCCATCATCAGTCTTCGAGCACAAGTGCATGAAATTTGTAGACATTTTCATCCATTCAGGAAGTTGACAGATGTCCAGAAGGAGGTTTGTTATCAGTTAACATTTCCCTTTTTTTGAAACGAGGAAACCACTCGTACACTTGAGTTTTTCCCATCGCACTGCCCTTGTAAGCTGTGCTCAACGTCACAACAGTTTTTGTGGCATTTTTCCCAAGCAGGAAACAAAACGTTCTCTTCAATCAGTCATCACAACAAACAAGGTTCAAGCAAAACTACTTTCACAAAAAAATTCACTGTGACCAGAGAAACTTTTCTGGTGACACCACTAGATGCAATAACTCAGAGCAATTGCTTGATGCTTGCCTGGCTGGAAAAATGCGTACTATGAAACTCCACCTGCAGGAGCTTTTCTTGTTTTCGGGGGAGAGCCCCTCGTGTACTATATATACTCGTGTATAAGCCAAGTTATTTAGCACATTTTTGATGCAGTTTTTGTGGTAAAATTAGGTGCCTCAGCTGATATTTGAGTCGGCTTATACTAAAGTATATACAGTGTGTGTGTGTGTGTGTGCACGCACACACATGTACAACTGTAGAGGAAGTTTATCCTTTGAATACTAATTTACTTTGAAGGATGCTTTTGCAAAGATGTTTCTACCAAGACATTGTGATCATGAATTCCTCCCTTTCAAGTCCTGTATTTTCTATATGATTAATATTTACTTTAAAAATAGTTAAGGCTTTTGGTATATAGAACAATAATTATATTTAAACAGACTATTCAGGGTTGCATATATTTACTCATCTCATTTCCTGGTACTGTAAGAGCCAGGTCTCGAATCAAGACTTATTTTACTATTTTGATTGTGGCATTTTAATAATTCTTAAAACCAATGCTACTCTTCAAACTTTGTTGTTTTGCTTTGTTTTTTCATAGTTGTTTTAGCTATTTTTGGTCTTTACATTTTAAAAGAATTTTAGAATCAATTTGCTAGTTTCTAAAAAACCTGCTAGAATTCTGACTTGGGATTGTATTGAGTCTACAGATCAATTTGGGAAAGCTGGCTTATTAACAGTACTCTCTCATCCTATGAACTCAGTTTATCTCTCCATTTATTTAAGTCATCTTTTAACTTCTGTCAGCATTTTGTAGTTTTCAATTTACAGGTCTTTCACATATGTTGCCAATTTTAACCCTAAGTATATATTTAATATCTTTGGATGCTATCATTAATGATGTTTTGTTAGCTGCTAGCATATGGAAATACAGTTCAATTTTGTATATTGATTGTTTATTCAAAATATTTGCTAAATTCACATTTTAGTTGTAGCAGTTTTTGTAGAGGTTTCCTATACAGATGATCATGTTTTCTGTGATTAAAGATTGTTTTAATCAAACAATCAGAAAACAAAGAATCTGCACTATTGGCTAGAATTTTCTATAATCATCAGTTAATTCAAATAATTTCATAATATTGTTCAAGTCTACTTAATCATTATTAAATGTATATCATTCACTTAATATATCAATTACTGAGAGAGTGGTATTTAAATATCTTATCATAACTGTGTATTTCTCAGGTTTTTAAAGTTATCCATTTTTGCTTAATATATTTTTCCAAAGCTGATAATATGCTTAGAAATATAACTTGAGAATAATTTCATTAGTGTTATCATGGTGTAAACCTTTTCTCATTTTTCTTTCAACCTGTTTGTGCCTTCTTTGCATTTGAAGTACATTTCATTTATGCAGCATATTTTGGATATTCCTTTTTTATTACCTTCCTTTTTT